TCACTTTAATTTTTAAAACTTCACATTGAGGTGAACGTGAAAATAAATAGATTGAACGGTGATTTATGTACGAATTTGCAAAACCGACAAAATGTCGTGAGTGTTAACCCATGTTTTTTTGGTCCAAAATGAAATTTTTTTATTTTTGCGAAATATTTTTTGTGAGCTTTAAGGAAAACTTTATAAGGTGCTCGGAAGCAGTTTTACAATTTATTAAGGAACAATTGTTTACTTAATGGAATATTTAAGCCAAAAACTTAAAAAAATATGTGAAAGATACGATAGTGAGGACCAAAACGTTGTCAAATGGGGTTCCTGTAACATCCCACATCGCCTAGGGTAGTGGATCCTGTAAGCCTTATATGTATATTCCCATCGTTACCTAGCACGAGACCTTTTGGGAGCTCACTGGCTTCGGAGTTCATAAAGTTAAGCGAGTTCGTGCGAGAGCAATCCCAAGATGGGTGACCCACTGGGAAGTTCTCGTTTGAGTTCCCAGAAACAAAATTATGAGGGCGTGGTCGGGGCCTAAAGTGGACAATATCGTGCTACAGTGGAGTCGAGCCCGAGATATGGTGGGGGCCCGGGCTGGGATGTGACAATTTGGTATAAGTGCCAATCCCTGGCCAGAACTGTGCCGATGAGGACATCGAGCCCCTAAGAGAGGTGGATTGTAACATCCCACATCACCCAAGAGAGTGGATCATGTAAGCCTTATATGTATATTCCCATATCTAGCTAGCACGAGGCCTTTGGGGAGCTTATTGACTTCGGAGTTTATCGAAACACCGAAGTTAAATGAGTTCGCGAGAGAGCAATCACAAGATGGGTGACCCACTGGGAAGTTCTCGTGTGAGTTCCTAGAAACAAAACCGTGAGGGCGTGGTCAGGGCCAAAAGCGGACAATATCGTGCTACGGTGGAGTTGAGCCCAGGATGTGGTGGGGGCCCGGGCCGGGATATGACAGTTCCACTCTCAAGAATCTCAATGGAAAGTCTCACCTTAATTTTCAAAACTTCACATTGAAGCGAAGTTGGAAATAAATGAATTGAATAGTGATTTATGTACTAATTTGCAAAACCGACTAAAAGTTGTGAGTGTTAACTCACACTTTTTGTGAAAAAATACAGATTTTGAATTTTTACAAATTTTTTTGTTTACGCATTAAATAAAGTTTTATAAGTTCTTTAGAAGCAATTGGACAATTTATCGATACACACATGTATTCTTTATGCATTTTTTATGTGTCAAGTAAAAATATAAATAAACATTGTCGGATGGTGAGGGGATAGTCGAGTTTGAAAAATCACTAAAAGCCCCACACAAATTATTAAGAAGCTTATCGATCAACGAAAATGACACGAAAGTAGGCTTAAGTTCGTTACTTAGAAATTAGCTAAATCAATCTCAAATAGTGACTTATAAGTCACAGTTTTTGTGAAAATTTCAAATTTTGAACATTTGCAAATTTTTTGGTTTATGCATTAAAGAAAGTTTTGTAAGTTCTTTAGAAGTTGTTGGACAATTGTTGATACACATAAGTATTTTTTATGGGTGAAAAGAAATATAAAAAAATATAGTGGTGGAGACTAAAAGTGATAGTCGAGTTTGAAAAATCACTAAAAGCCATGCACAAATTATTGAGAAACTTATCGATCGAAGAAAATGAAACGAAGGTAGGTTTAAGTTCGTTACTTTAGAAATTAGCAAAATCGATCTTAGATCGTGACTTGTAGCTCACAGTTTTTGTTAAAAATTCAAATTTGAACATTTGCAAATTTTTTGGTTTGTGCATTAAATAAAATTTTGTAAGTTCTTTAGAAGTAGTTGGACAAGTTATTGATACACATAAGTATTTTTTATGTGTCAAGTAGAAATATAAATAAACATTGGCGGTGAGTGAAAGTGATAACCAAGTTTGAAACATCACTAAATACCATACACAATTATTGAGAAGCTTATCAATCGACGAAAATGACACAAAAATAGGTTTAAGTTTGTTACTTTAGAAATTTGCAAAATCAATCTCAAATTGTGACTTATAGTTCATGGTTTTTGTGAAAGTTACAAATTTTGAACATTTACAAATTTTTTGGTTTGGGCAATAAAGAAAGTTTTGTAAGTTCTTTAGAAAGAGTTGGACAAATTATTATACACATAAGTATTTTTTATGTGTCAAGTAGAAATATAAATAAACATTGGTGGAGAGTGAAAATCATAGCCAATTTTTAAAGACCACTAAATGCTCTTCACAAATTATTGAGAAGCTTACAGTCGACGGATATGACATGAAACTAGGCTTAAGTTCGTTACTTTAGAAATTAGCAAAATTGATATCATATCTTAATTTGTAGCTCACAGTTTTTTGAAAAATGCAAATTTTGAACATTTGCAAATTTTTGGGTTTATGCATTAAAGAAAGTTTATGAGCTCTTTAGAAGCAATTAGAATATTTATTAACACACCTAAGTAATTTTCATGAATTTTTAATGTGTAAAATAGAAAAATAAGTAGACATTGGCAGAGAGCAAAAGTGATATCCGACTTTTGAAAAGTCACCAAATGCCCTAAACAAATTCTTGAGAACCTTATCGATCAAGGAAAATGGTACGGAAGAGGCTTAAGTTCGTTACTTAGAAATTAGCAAAATCGATCTTAAATTGTGACTTATAGCTCACAATTTTTGTGAAAAATTACAAATTTTGAACATTTGCAAATTTTTTTGGTTTGCCCAATAAAGAAAGTTCTGTATGTTTTTCAGAAGCAGTTGGACTATTATTGATTCACATAAGTAAATTTTATGTGAATTAGCATAAGTAAAAGTATGTGATAGCCGAGCTTTAAAAATCACTAAAAATTTAAGTTTTTGTGAATTAGCAAAATTGATCTCAATTGTGACTTACAGCTCAAAGTTTTTAATTTCAAAATTTTGAACATTTGCAAATATTTTGGTTTATGAATAAAGAAAGTTTTGTAAGCTCTAGAAGCAGTTGGACACTTTCTTGATATACATAAGTATTTTTTAATGTGTCAAATAGAAATGTAAATAAACATTGATGGAGAGTGAAAATGATAGCTAAGTTTGAAAAATCACTAAAAGCCCATTCATAAATTATTGAGAAGCTTATCGATCAACGAAAATGAGACGAAAGTAAACTTAAGTTTGTTACTTTAGAAATTAGGAAAATCAATCTCAAACCGTGGCTTATAGCTCACAGTTTTTTTGGATAATTCAAATTTTGAACATTTCCAAATTTTTTTGGTTTACGCATTGATGAAGGTTTTATAAGTTCCTTAGAAGAATTGGACAAGTTATTGACACACACAATTTTTAATGTGTGAAATAGAAAAATAAATAAACTTTGGCGGAGATCAAAAGTTACATCTGTGTTTTGAAAAATCATAAATTGCCCTGCATAAATGATTGAGAAGCTTGTCAGTCGACGAAAATGGCACGAAATAAGGCTTAATTTCGTTAATTTAGAAATTAGCAAAAGTGATCTCGAATCATGACTTATAGCTCATAATTTTTGTGAAGAATGCAAATTTTGAACATTTGCAAATTTTTGGGTTTACGCATTAAAGAAAGTTTTATAAGCTCTTTAGAAGCTGTTGGACAAGTTATTAATACACAAAGTATTTTTTACGAATGTGTAACATATAAAAATAAATAAACATTGGGGTGAAAGTGATATCCGATTTTAGAAAAATCATTAAATGCCCAATAAAAATTATTGAGAAGCTTATCGACGACAAAAATGACACGAAAGTAAGCTTAAGTTTGTTACTTTAAAATTTAGCAAAATCGATCTCAAATCATGGCTTATAGCTCACAATTTTTGTGAAAAATGCCAATTTTGAACATTTACACTTTTTTGGGTTTACACAATAAAAAAAGTTTTATAAGCTCTCTAGAAGCATTTGGACAATTTATTAATACGCAAAAGTAAATTTTACGAATCTTTAATGTGTAAATTAAAAATAAAGAAACATTTGAGCAAAAATGATATCCGAGTTTAGAAAAATCACTAAATGTCCTACTCAAATAAATGAGAATCTTATCAATCGACGAAAATGACACAAATGTAGACTTAAGTTTTTTACTTTAGAAATTTGCATAATCGATCTCAAATCATGACTTAATGTGCATAATCGATCACAGTTTTTGTGGAATTTTCAAATTTTGAAGCAATTGGACAATTTATTAGTACAAAGTGGCATTTTTTGCGGATTTTTAATGTGCAAAATAGAAAAATAAAAAAAAAATATTGGCAGAGAGAGAAAATGATATCGGAGTTTTGAAAGCCAATAAATGTCTTATACAAATTATTGAGAAGTTTATCGATCAAAAAAATGACATGAATGTAGGCTTAAGTTGGAGAAATGAATTCTAAATGAGCAATGTTAGGTAGGCAAAATTTGCAAACCATGTGATATGTCACCAATAGCAAATAAACATGTTAACCAACAATTAAGTAATAATTCAATCATCAACTACCACGTCATATAGTTTATAAAATTTGATTTAAATAGTTGATTTTCCAAGCATTACCCATTCGAAAATGACCATGGGCACATAAATACAAACCACGCACCATTTTTTATTTCTCACACATACCTCTCAATTTCTAATCGTCGGATCGAATGAATTAAAAAAATCAAAATGCTAAAGATTAATAAGAGTCTGTAGAAGGTAAAAATAACTATATAAATAACACTATTTTTTTTTTTTTGGTTAAAAAATCCTCACTGTCGATACCTCGAATGTTCCAATAAACAAGCGTCGCCTGGATGTATGTACTAGTACTCGCCGATCTGTCCTAGCTGCATCGTTTCTTTTGAGATTTTGAAAGCACAGGAGAAAAATCTTCTTCGCCGATAGGCGAGTATACCCTATTTTCGGTTCGAGGACCAAAACCGGGCGGGCCATCCAGTTCATCCACATTTACATCGGGTGACTGATCAGATAACAGTTGCGCTGGTTGTGCAGAAAACGGGGGAAAACATCAAATTTTGTGACACGCTTGATTTAAATAGTAGGTTTCAGCCAATTTGAGCATCAAATTCTACTGGATCACGAAACTAATATAAGGCAGCATGACCATGGAGTCAGCAGGTTCATGACAGTGTTGCCACTACAGGACGACAAACGAAATATAAACAGACTGACCACCATTAACGCAAGCTTAGTCAGTAATTAAACAGACAGACACCAATTGAGGTCAAGTAGAGCTTGAATTATGTCCGCATAGAAACAAGTCCATGTTCTTGACCTTTTCCCACCAACTCCAACCCTTCTTCCCACTTGCAGTGCCAAAATCCTTCACATTGCTATTACCTCTCTTCAGCCTCCGATTGATCTTCCCTATTTGGAAGCAAACCTCCAAATTCACTTCATTCCCGTTAAACTTGCTTTTGTTGTTTATGCTCCTACTCTCTTCTCGTACAAGTTGAGAGGACCATTGGTCTCTCTTCACAAGTTGCTCATAGTACTGCTTGTTCCTCTTCTCCAACCCATAGATCTGGCCCTGCAGGTCCTCGATTTTACGGCTAAGCATGCACGCCCTCTGATCCTCCCTCACCTTCAGCAAACACCTAGCCAGCTCTCCAGCCTTCCTCCTCATGAACATGGACTCGGACGCGATGTCTTTGTTCTCTTCCACCAATGCACCCACTTTGTACCCCAACTTAGCATTCTCATTCAGTAGTATGAGCCTTTCGGACTCCAGCACCTCCAGCAAGCTCTTCTGCAACTTTATCTTCCTTGATGACTCATTGTATCGCCTCCCCATGGTGCTGGCCTCATCAAGTAAGATATCGCATTCCACATTCTTCATCACAACCTCCGCAACAATTGCATCCAAATCCAACACCATGTTATCATCCCGGGCAGCAGCAAGAGATAATTGTGGCTGATAGGAGAGGGAACTGCCCACGTCCGAATCCATCTGGCTTAATGTATCACCATCGGCATCTTGTTGGTCATGACAGTCGTCGTAGTAGTCATTAACAATGATTGAGGTTTGGGAGGAGTGTCCACGGCGATGATTGGTTTTGGCGATTGTATGAATGTAACGGTCAGATAATGTGACGTAGGCATTGTACAAGTCTTGAAGCAGAGAGTGCAGCTGAGGGCGTCGTTTGTAGTAAGCGTCGGCTCGTTCAGTGAAGGTGTCTCCAGTGTCTTGTTGGGCTGTGTGAGATGCCAGCATCTTCATCCTCTCTTCTATATCTGACATAATAACAACCAAGGCTCCGTTAATTTTATTTGAATTAGAATGCAGCCTTACCTTCCGCTCATATTTGTTCAACATATATGAGATAGTTAGCCTAGGATGCATGGACAGCCAATTTCCAAGGCAAAAAAAATTCACATTATATGCTGAACAAACAAATTAACCATGCAAATAAAAAAAAAATGGAGTTTAAAAGGGAAATAAAAGATGGAGACTGAGCAGAGCACCTAATTCGAAATGAGATTTTGAATTTCACAACAGCCAACAGGAGGTAAAGTAAAGACAGCAGCAGGACCACCAAATGACTAAAGGACCAATTTCCACCCGGGAGAACATATATGTCAGTCACTCCCCATCCATCAAGATATAAGATTCCCTCCCTCATTATTTCAAATTTGATTTTACTCTTGATACAAACTAAACACTCATGTGTAGCCCCCTTCTGCATAGAATCAAAGTTATCGTGGGGGCTTTATAATTAAATTCAATATCGTATGAGCTTAAAATAAAATAAAATGTTAGCACCAATTCATGCAGAATTATTGTTAAAAAAAAAACAAACAAAGAATATTGAAACAAACAGATGGAAGGAGATTCTCTCTTTTCTTGAATCCTATTTCTAATCCTAGCACGAGTTTGTATCATAGAGTATGAAAAATACGAAGGAAAAGGGGAAAAAGAAAGGTCACAGACTTCCTGCCTCGAGCAAATATCAAACAAAATCAATTACATACCACTGCAAGCCAATGCCCTTATAGCCTACTAGACTACTCACTACGACTCTATCAGATCGAGTTTTGAAATTCAAACACAAAGGAAGATGGATGGACAGATAGACAGACAAAGATGGAAAACTCCAGGCTACGTACGTTACCTAGTCACATGACGTCATCACATGTGCACTTGCACGAAAAACCTCCTAAAGCATTTCCATTCAATCATGCGTACGTTGTTCAATTCAATTACGCGTGCACCAAAACAAAGATAAAAGATTTATAGAAAATGACTGAAATAAAATGAGTCTGTAAGTGTTTCAATTCAATAATACAACATCATCATCTGAATATTTGTTCATGCGACATTGTATTATTAAACAGAAACACCAACTGACGATCTTTTCATGCAAGTTGCCCGCCGGTCCACGAGTAAAAGTTGAAGGGAGAAGCGAAATGATTCAAGTGAAAATGTTCCTACCGTCACGGACGGATAAGAGCCATGTGGGTTTCCGATTCATGGTGGACTTGTTGCTGCCGATAAAACTACTTGGACTTGGAGGAGCCGACGACACGACTGAAGAAGGAGGAGGATTTGATGAAGCTGCTGATGTTGTTGTTTGTTTCTTCACCGCTGTCGATCCCATCGGTATGTCTCAACTCTCCTATTAGGCTGCAATATCTTTATAAAAGTGATTAAATTATATAAAATTAATAAAAGAAAAGCAAAACATAAGCATAGCTTTGCTATTCATGAACAGTAAAGCATTATGCAAACAGAAAGAGCAGGAGTAGGGTTCCGTCTCTGAAACGCATTTAAGACGGAGACAGTACGTACACTTGCATCTAATCCCTCGGACTCGTGTTTCTGAGAGAAGAGAGCAGAAGCAGCTGCACCACACAAACTTAATTCTTTGACTTGTAGTACAAGACATTACAGCGCAGATCTCGAGGAGGGGGAGGACGAGCAATGAATTCGAAAAATAAAAATAATCTTCTTCTTTTTGGTTTCAAAAACGAGTATCAAACTGTTCATTTCGCATATGTATGTATGTATGTATGGTCATTGGTCACAATAACTCACAAGTATATCTGACATTCTAGACATGGCGCGTGGTTTTGGAACAGTGATCATTACTCAATTCCCCATGCACAATTTTCATGGAGAAAAGTCATATTTATTTATATAACCACTTCTATGAGAGTCATCCTAATTTCTATTCTTTCGTTCCTTCTCACACACACTCAAAAACAGACAGAATAACAACTAATAAATGAAAAGTTAACTAATTGAACAAATGCTGTTGTTTCATTGTTTGTTTGTTTGTTGGAATCTCAATCACGGGTTCCCTTCCAAATTCTAAATGTTTATCGAATTTATGAATTAAGAGGATCAAAGATAAAAATTAACAGAAAATTTATGAAAGATATAAAGAAGTGGAGCACCATCCTAAATTAATTGTTAAGGAGTCAAAAGTCAAACCTTAATCAAAACACTCTTGAGATATTAAACTATGGAGACTCGGACTGTGTACGGCATTCAAAATTTCAAATCATGATGGCTTTCATACTATGCAGTGGTGCATTCATAAATAAATTAAACACACGCATGGACAGAAAGAAGCCCAAGATTAAAAGAAAACAATGAACTGATATGCGTTGTGTATGTATACCAACAGGATGCTTTCCGGATTTTTTGATAAGTTTTTTTGTTAGATTCTGTTTGTATTTAATATTGAATAAAAATATTTAAAATGATTTCTGATCGCACGATGTATAATGAAAAAAATATGATTCACGGATCCTCGGTTATGATTCGTATGTATTTGTACATGTATATATAATAAATAAAGGAAATTAGAAAAGATTTGGACTAATGGTGTGTCGCGGATGATGGTATAAGAATGGCAAGTTGCAAGAAGAAAAGAAAGCATGAGAGAGATAGTTACCTGCAGGCAGAGGCAGAGGCAGAGGCAGAGGCAGATGCAGATGCAGATGCAGATGCAGATGCAGGCCCAAAGAGAGAAGAGTAACGTATGTGAGAATGTGGTGAGTGACTCTCAGTCTGAGTTCTTGACAAGCAAAGCAAAGCAATGCCTAAGCAAGGCTCCTAATAATACTTATTACTTACCTTCATTCTTGATTAATATCATAATATGGACGGAGACCAGAGAGAATTCAAGGAGAGTCGGTGCGCTTGACTGTATAACAAAGATTTCTCCCCCAAAAATCCGCAGCTACTCTCTCTTTTTGTCTTTCTTTAGCTTCACTTTGACCACTCCCATTCCGACACGTGTACTCTCCCATGTACTTCCTCTCCTTTCAAATTTGTATTTTCAAATCCTCTTTTCCTTGCTTCTTACAAGTTTAAACTCTACGAAGAGAAAGAGACTTCCATGGACACCTGTCGCTGTAGCGTTTTCAAACCACTAGTACAAAGTTATTTATCACACTTTCCGCGTGGCCTTGCATCAATGGTTAAAAACATTACGATGACGGTGACCTTTTTTCACCCAAGTCTTTCTCCCAATGTAACACACGTTTTACTCGGTGAAAAAATTCAGGCATGCTATTGTATCTTGCATTGTTCCATAACATCCATCCCATCTCATTTAAATCTAAATTCGTGGGTGTGGGTATGTCCACATATATTCTTAAGTCATTACTCATCTTTAAGACTACAATTGTGTCTCTAAATAATTCTCTACATTCTCTACGAAATTGAAAACATTAGTTTACAGCAAGAAAACAATTAAACCAGTGGGAAGGGCGGGGGTGAACCAAATACCAACATCAGACCTTCCTAATCGTTCTGTTTCCGCACCCGTCAATAGTCAAAAACAAGTCTAAACAATTAAAGTGGTGTACAACGCAGCACCATCTCTTCAAATTTCTTCGAGATGATTGTGGCGCTCCAGTCTTTCTTCTGTATTCTATCCTTCCACACATTATCTAGGCTGAGCATTTGACACGCACTTCTAGCATATCATGTAACAAGGCTACTCCCCATGAGCCCCGTATCTGCTTGCAACTTCTTCCCCTTCTAATAGCCTCTCCACTGCATCAGAAGGAAGGCCAATCATCTCAAATGTCTTCTCCCACACCTCGTGAGAAGTTTCAACATTATGCGATTCTTCTGAAGGATTCGTTGGGCGGCAATCTTGAGAAATAAAGGCACAAACAGGAAAATCATCCGTTTTCAACAATTCACAGTACTCGGGAACCTGGGGATCAGTGGCTGCAAACAGAGCACTCCTAGAACCTGCATACAATAAATCATTACAATATGATTTTCACATTCCCTCCCTTCCCTTCTTTTTGTTCAGTTTTCAAAGGAGCATTGCATTTATTGCATAGCAGTAAAACTCGGATCTGTTAAGTAGATCACCTAGGAGCAAGGTCAATAGTACCTGATAGGTTAAAAATTCATAATGTAATAAGTGATCAGGAAATAAGCTATCATAAAGACGAGGTTTCATCCAAACTTTACGAGTCTAGGATGATCCCAGGGCTGCTCAGAATAATCTTTGTTTCATTTTTTTATATTTACATTTTCAAATTTAGTAGGAAACATATATGCATCTTGCACATAAAAGAACAAGCCACATCTTCGTAGCACATATAGGTGTTTCAGTTTCTTAGACATTCCTATCGACAAAGAGCTTTTTTAGCATTATTGTTGTTCTTTAGTTTAAAAACTCGTAGGTGAGTTTAAGCGAGTTCTTAGGGTTTAACAAAGTGAATAGGAAACAGGATCATGACAAGAAGATGATGAGAAGAACCGACTTTTCTATTCTGTTCTGTCTTATCTTTTATAAACTTTATTTGGCCAACTAACAAGATCATGTGACTTTAATTATAGCCCAACTCTAGCTTTACTAATTGCAGTAAAATACAAAATGATATTAGCTACTCATCAAAGATTATATTTACAAACCTTTCTTCTGGGGTGTCTTCAGTATCTTATAAGTAAGAAGGTAAAATGGAAAATCAAATGTAATAGCAAGAATGACACACCTTCTTGAGCACTAAACATAAAATAAGGTACTAGATGATAAGCAGCCTGAACAATCTTGGATAGATCCCTTGCCTGCAATCAATTGAAACCCAAAATGATAAATAAAACTCAACATAATATATAGGTAGAGAAGCTTTGAATATAAAATCTTCAAGGCACATAAAACCAATAACATGCAAGACTGTTAATTAAACTTTCATATAGAAACCTTGAAGGCATATCCTTCTTCGAGGTAACAAAGAAGGGAGGCGGAAGGAAAGCATCAAGATACTTACAACATTAGTCTGGACAATTCCAGGTGAAACGCATACTACACTAATGCCAGATTCAGCAGGCAGACACTTATGTAGGACACTACTAAACATAATCTGCAATCCAAATACAACTAGGTTAGAGTAGTCGTCTTACAGCTCCAGAAATTATATACATACCACAGCAGTTAATTGACATTTCATTATGTGCAAGTGTCCAGCCTTGGATAATAAATGACCAGCTTTTACAAACGATTAGAGACATCAAAGCAGATGTTGAAACCATAAAAGGAAAGGAGGAATGCCAAAAAATACAAGCAGATGCTATAGTTATAGCACCCAATTATCAAGCACTTGATCAATGTACAGGACCAAGTAACTAAAAAGATCTAAATAAAGACAGAGACACTTGTATTCCACACAGAGTAGCTAACAGTTTACGGATCAAAAGGACCTAATTCCTTTCCACAGACACAGATAGGGAGGAAAGCTTGTAGCTCTTACAAGCTTGTTCCAGCTAAAATATGCAAAACAACAAACAATAAAGACTTCTAAGAGCACCTGTGCCAGCTTGCTGCTTGTGTAACCCACTAAGCTTGTAAATTTTCTTTTCCCAGAAACAACGTTCATGTCTTCTGTGTCAACAAAGCCAACATAATGCATCTATATAAAGAAAGACAGCATTCTCAGATTTATGTTATATAACAGTAAAACAAGAATATCAAACTGTGATATAAATTATAGTGCCAATATAAGAACTTAAGGATGCATCTACGGGTAGTTAGCATGTACGCCGACTAGTTTTTCTTTCCATGTGTGTGTAAATAGGTGTGTGAAAGTTATATGTATCGTATATACGTAAAAAAGCATAAGCATAGGCGTGTAAATTTTTACGCATGATGATCATAGAACTTACAACGGAATTCAAGTTAACAATTCGACTCGGAGAGCCTCTAATGAGGGAAGGCAATAGCAAGACAGATAGCAGTGCTGGAGCCAGATGGTTCACTTGCAAGTGTTCTTCGTAACCATCTTTTGAAAACTTTTGCGGCTCTGAACACACCAGAGGCAAGGTATTCCAGTAAATGAAAAATAAGATCTGAAGAGACGAAGCTTTGAAATTGTGTAAAAATGTCAATAAAAGGATCAACCTCCAATTGAAAATATCCCAGCATTGTTGATAAGAACATGAAGAGGGCCTAAACGTGCATTCCATGCTTGGGCAAATCTCACGACAGAATCCAAGGAAAGCAGATCAAGTTCCATTACCTATAAAGATTAAACAATATTATATATTTGCATACAATTAATGAAATCGAAGGTAGATAATTGGCGGTGGCCCTTGGGGTCTTCATAAGATACCTCAATATTGAGAGGAAGTCCCATTCCAGACCATTCATTCTGCCACTTCTGGATCAGCTCATTAGCTGCTTTCGTATTCCTCACCGCCATTACAACATGCGCCCCTGATTCCGCTAACTGCCTGTTCAGTTTTCATGTTCAAGCAAATCTAATTCAAACTTGAGAAATGAAATTGAGCAATGGGCACCAGGGTATCCAAAGTTCTCAGCAACCAAACAGAGGGACGGAGCCCCAAATCCCAATGCAATCTTGCAAATCGAGTTGATTCATTTATACTAAAATAAACAAGCTAACAAGAAACTGAATTCGTGAATGTTTGGAGAGTTGAAGGAAGGAGAAGTAGGAGACCTGGCGATTTCGCGGCCGATGCCGCTGGTGGATCCAGTGACAATGCAAGTGAGATCGTTGACGGGAGGCAAAGGCATGGGGTTTTGCAAGTGGCTGGCAGTGATTCTCTGGAACAGCATCTCGTAGACCACATACAACCACCCCCTCATCCACTGTATCCATCCCAATCCCTCCTTGCTATTCTTGGTCTTCACTTCCTCTTTCGGATTTGACGACGCCGCCGCAGCTGCCATCTCAGCCTCCTCTCTCTCTCTCTCTCTCTCTCTCTTTCTCTCCTGTGACGCGAGACAAAACAGTAGCTGGAGCCTCTGTGGCTGTACAGCATATAGTGGCAATGGTAGACTGGTAGTGGTTGTTGCGACTTGCGAGCGTGTGATTCTGGGAAATATTTTATTTTATCTTTTTCCCCTAATTTGTGGTGACTTTAAAAACTTGGAAAAGCTGGAATGGGGAGTAGTAAAGAATAATCTAGATGAAGACTGAAAGAGGCATAAGCCACCCCATGAGCCGCGAGGTTTAATTTGGCGTTGGGCCTGCCGTGCGAAATGGTAGAGGCTTTATTGTTGTGGATGAGCTAGCTAGAATCTCCCCTCGCCTGGATGGCTTTGCTTTAGAGTAGAGACCCTAGAGAGACTTGTAGCCCAAGGTTTTGGGTTAAAAGGGTTCATTTCTCATGCTACGCCAAATTCTGAAAAGTTGTTTTGTTGGGTGGGTTACAGCTTACAGGGCATCATCGTTCATCAATACCCAATAGAGAATAGACCACTAGTCTACTAGTGCCTGTTGGGACTCGGGACTCGGGAGGGAGGTGCTTTCAACCAGCTCATTAGTCATTGCACAAGGTCACTCAACTTGAATGAAATCCAAAAGACCTTCAACTTTTGTATTTTGTCTTTGGTGGCAGGTCTGGCAGGCAGGGGCCCATTTTTGATACTTGGAGATTCTTATTCCTCCTTGGGCCCAAAAACTCTTATTAGCCTGCCTCTTAATCTAAAATCCCACACAATCACAAATTCCACATTACTAATCAAAAATGGATTATTGATGTTCTACGCCACATTGCTAATCAAATACGAATTCTATTTCGGTACAGCCTTTTCTTTCTTTAAATCTAAAATAATCTATTCTACTCATTTCAAAATAAATAATCTCCACAAGTTTAGAAAGCAAAGACTTTTTCCTTATGTGGTAGAGAGGAGAGTCTCTAAGTACAGTATGGGAGGTGAGACAATGTCCTCAATTCTTTATAGATTTGAGCATACACTAGTTTGTTTTCAAAATTAGGCTTAATCTCGAATTAGTGCTGAGATACCAAAATTCTAAATTGGATGGATGCTGTCCTCACTCCTAAGTACCTAACCTATACATATTCCTACTCTTGCTTGATAATTACACTACCCAATTACATGCCTACATATAATCATATATCATCTATATGATGGAGTGGATACTGGATAGTCAAACAATCAATTAAACAAAATTGTAAACAAGGAGTTGAAGTATCCTTGTCTAATTAATACATAAAAGGAAGATGTATATTTTTCATCATCCAATTAATTAAATTAAACAAATCAACGTACAAAACTAAACATGAATGAGTGAGAGAATAATAAAAGATGCACGGGTTTATTATTTTTTTAAATATAATCCTCAAGAAAACACAAGCCTACCTGAAAAGATTCGACAACATATACAGATTATTAGTGTTTAAGCCAAAAGCCATAAAGGAATTTCTCAGCCGAGTCTACTCCCACAAAACTCTAATATAACAGCAATAGTAGTACTAATTAAAACAAAGTTAATCAACATATATAATAACCATACATATAAAACTAATGGTTTAGTACTCGATGAGCTTCTGCCAGCTGATAACTAATTAACAAATACATAAGAGATAAACAAGCTTAAGGTACAGACAAGAGAATCTCTCGGGGTATTCCTTGTGCATATAAAAGTATTGAACAAAAAAGAAGATAATTAAATACACACCAAAAGAAAGGAAAAAGGTTTATGATAATAGTACGAGTAGAAGCTAAATGCCAGCGCTAGCAATCTCCCTGAAACGGCGTTGATCAGATTCTAGCCTCTCGAGTCTGATGTCATTGTTGATCTTCTTGATGAAGGCCTCTGCTCGCTGGTTCAACTCTTCCTGAGTGATCGACTTTTCTCTTCTCAAAGACACCCTGTCGCTAAACGTGTCCGATTTCTTGAGCTCCCGTCGAGCCCATGTCACTGCATCGTCCTCGTCATCGTGATCATCATCCAAGTTACATTGATTCAATTGACGTTGTGGGACTTTGAATTTGGTATTTGTGATGGCCAATTGCCGGCCGGTTAGGCGAGGAGGCGTGTCCCAAGTGTCACTCTTTTTGAGGTGCTTACCGCTTGCCTTGCCTTGCCCATCCATGATGGTCTTCCATGTCGTGTCCAATGTCTTGGTGTCATCATCTGCCTCCACCTCCTCCTCCTCCTCCTCCTCCGTTGGCATTGAGTCACGGCAGCACTTTTCCGGTGAAGGCCCAGATCGCTGATGATCATCGTACTCAAAGCTAGTAGTACTAGTACTCAGAATAGTATTTGGAATTACACCTTCTTGTACTGTGTGAATGTCATGCCAACTGATCATCTCATTATTCAATGTGTACGGATGGTTGTCTAGAGATGATGAAGAGAATAGAGAAGTTGCATCATCTTCCGGATGACTTTGGATTAATCTGTCCTGCTGCTGCTGCGGCGGCTGGGTGGACAGCATCTGGGATTGGCTGCTGTTGTACTTGTTGTCGATGTTGTTGTCTGGACTGTAAATAAAATCGTGAGAGGGGTCAATGTCGTCAGTGGACTTGGCATTGTTTTTAGTAGTGTCGCCGGAGGCAACGGAAGAAGAAGAGAGAAGAAGAGGAAAGGTGGTGCTTGTGGTTGTGGTTTTGGCGTTGGAAAGCGGAGGAGGCAGCGATGGTGAGGATGATAAAGTTGAGGATGATGTAGATGTAAACAGGAGATAAGGAGCAGCAGTTTTTGAAAGAAGTCCGGATGTGAAGGACGATGGAAAGACTGAGGTTGAGCAGGTAAGGAATGATTGCTGCTTTGAAGAATACCACTGTCGACACTGTCCCTACACAAAGCAGCAACACCCTTGCCGCCCAGATTGCTGTTTCCAGTCTTCCTCTTTTGAACGCATCCGCCATCATCTTAATTTGTATCCTAATTATAATTAATTCCTAATCCAAAGAAGGATAAGTTTTGAGAGAAATTCAAATTCAAAATAAGAAGAAAGAAAGAAGCAGAGAATGTGTCAAAAACCACACGCTGTGCCTCTGCTCGACAAAAGGAGACCCAAAATAGCATATAAAACCGCCATTTTCGAAACAGTAGGGACTTGGGAAATTGGAGACTACTTTACTTAGGCTAGACACGGAGACTAGGAACTGAGAGAGAGAGAGAGAGACGAAAGGGTTCCTTAAAACAGCATAAAAATTTGCTGGAATAAATTTATACCTTAAGGCTCAAGACAAGAAGATGAATAAGTCTGCGTGGCACTTGATGAAAATATGTATATGAGCAGCCTTATAGCCTAGCTAGGATGGGATCACATGAAAATTTTGGATCACTCCATATCATATACATATATATAAACAAAGAAATTAAGAAAAAGAGAAATCAACAAGAAGAAAATGAAGAGGGAATGAAGGTGGGCTAATGGACTAGGATTAATTCATTCATATAGAGCTGCGAAGAATGGACAGAAAGTAGAGAAGAGAATGAATGCAGTTTGCATTTGCAGTTGCAGACGGATTTTGCATCTCATCGACTTCAATGGTGATGCAGAGATTAATGGGCTTTTTGTTTAGAGAGAAAGAAAGAAGGAAAGAAAGAAAGATAAGCAAGGACAAGGAGGACCAAGAGGCAGGGACAGGGAGGGGGTGCTTAAATGCACGAAAGGAAAGACCCCTTGTGCTTGTGAGAGGCGCTTAAACTTAAACTCCTCACAACTACTCCTCCTTGATCAAATCTCTGCCGTCCAATCTTCATATCCTCTTCCAAACTGTTCGACGTTTGCCACATTATTCTTTTTATTATTAAAGATTACCCTTTCTTTTCCTATTATGGTCATATATGGGCCAGCATCAGCACCAGCACCAGCACCATCACCAGATTAGAAAATTAGTTGATGCTACAAGTTCGAGCAAAGTTTTGGATTAATTAACTGAAATCTAATCTCCATTAGATCTCGGACCACTCTGCTTTGCTTTCGTCCGCGGCTCAATCCTACTTCTAAATAGAATTCATAATAAGTGCATACCACATAGTTGATTATCACTATCAAGTGTCAAATTTTAATAAGACGTGTTAATGATTTAACACACTGATATTATCTCACAACTTATCCACCTGCTAGCTCCACATGAGTTTGATGTCATCCTAAAAAGCCTTAATGGAATTAGGACTAACAGACATATGTGTGTGTGTGTTGCAATTTAATTTGTGAATTTTTCAGTCCGGAATTTTCTAACACTAAGAACTAACCCTGCAGCAAAAAGATCCCATATTTGCACATGCTATGCTAAGCTTGAGTCATGATCAATTGATCATGCACTGTAACTCTGTAACAACTTACACTGTAATTTTGTAAAGAACAGTTTCTGTACAAACTGTAAATAAATTAACCAATTAAGGAAGTAAACTTGGCTCAACAAAAGATCCCTCCCTAGCTCCTTCTCTATTCCTTAAGCCAAAATGGAATGGAAGCTGTATGTATATAGTTTTAAGTTGTTTTTGGAGGGGTTGGTTGAACTTGGTGGGTGGATGGATATTGGACAATCAGCAGCTGTTCTCCATTCCTAAATTTCCTCCACTACTTTTCAAACAAACAAATATTAACCAGCTTCTGTCTTTATATGTATATACAACTACAGGAGTAGATGATGATATTGAACATCGTGTTTCTGTTAACCCCGCTCAACTAATCAAAGTTTATAATTTCTTCTTGGATACCAAGCTAACTATTAGCTTAATTACCCTGGATAATTAATTAATTACTTAGATCTAGTAGAAGCTAGCTAGCTAGGTGCTCATCATCATTTAGTTACAAATTATTAAGGAAGGAAATATATATTACAAATATATCTCAAATCTTAATTTGTAGGAGGATGCATTGCATTTGCATGTGATGAAAGTGGCATAAGTTAACCAGGCTGATGACAAGCAGAAATGGACCCTCCCTTTCATTGGGGGCCATTGGGGGTCTCCTTCTGTCTGACCCCAGGGAACACCCACAGCCATGTACTAGCCACCACCTCCACGGAAAAGGGTTTTTTTCCGAATGCTTTCTATCAAATTCATCAAATTAAAGGATTCAGAGCCTTAAAATTTGATTAAATAGCTAAAGTTATTATATTTTTTTAGAGAACTCCGTGTGTTTGGATCCCTTTATTTGGTGGAAGGGATCTAGAGAGGATCTCTTTACCCTCACGAGAAATTTTTCATTATGACGAGAAACATGAGTGATACACCACGTGTTTTTATACAAGTGGTGGGAAATTTTATTTTTTAAGTTATTAAATTTTTAACATACATATCTCACTATTTATATAATGACACGTAATATATCACTCTCTGTATCGATCATATTAAAAAATCTTTCCGACCCCACCCCACCCACTGTGGTAGCCTGGTTCTGCTTTTCCACAATCTTTTCTCATTATACTACTTTATTTTCGAAATCTATATTATGAATATTCTGCGTTGAAACTGATAGCTCACTAGTCACTCACTAAGTACCAAAAACACTATGCCATGTCCCAACAAGTTCATTTGGAACCTACCTCTCTCCTCTAACCAACTGTAATTACAGCTTTAACCCAAATGAACTTGTGCCGTTGGTTTCGATTCGTCTTCAAATGTATCTGAGTCGTTTGTCGTGATTATCAAAAGTTGCACAGGCACTGGCAGGCTTCATGTCAGCCAAAACATTGCAACTAGCTACGTACATCATATCATTATCGGTCAGTGACGGATCCAGAATTTTAACATAGAATGGTTCTAATCAGTGTTTTAAAAATCGGCATAGGCAGCGCCTAAAGGCTAGGTGGTGAAGGCCCGTCTTGATTTTGGGCATATCGTTTCAAAAAATTGGTCTGGAGCTAGGCGGTCCTAGGCGGCTCTTTGGCGAAGGGCTAGGCAGCACCTAGGCGGTTCTAGGAGGTTTTTTGGAATATTTTTGGAATGTGAATGGAAAATCATGATCTTTAGCTCTAAAAGACTCTATCAATATACATGCTCTTTGGACCTCATTTCGAATATTTGGAGGATAATCCCTTTTATTTGTCTACCAAAATAAAAAATGAGTACAACTTCATAATGTATAATTCTTGTCGTGAATGCAAAACTATCAAAACTCTTGAGATTTACATAGATAAACACTATGTTGATCACTTGAGTGACAAGTCCTCACAACATGCACTAATAAATAAACCAGGCTCCCCAAGAAAAACTTGCATAACCCTAATTAGGGTTTTGGCATCAAAATGAAGAATGAAAGACGTTTGCAAACCTAGAGGCTAATCCCTAATGCCAAGAAAGATACAAGCCCAATAGGCAGTAGTAAGCAAGAAGGATAGCGATGAGGAGGGTGTTAAAAGTTTATTACTGGTTGGACGGAATCCCACTTAATTTAATTTTTTTCCTTTTTATTAAAGTCTCTAAATTGTTTTTTACTTTGGAATGATACAAAAGCCCGTAACGTGGAGTCTAGAGGATGTCCAATCACAATGAAATGCAGTCGACAATGCTTTTTAAATTATTTTTTTATTTACTTAGGCTCAAAACGGTGCGTTTTGGCCAAGTCATTTCAAGTCATTTTAAAACCAAAAAGTCATCTTCTTTCTCCTCCTGCAACAGAACGAGCAGTGCATCAGCAGCCATGGCTGCTGTTCTCCACCACCACAGCCCAGACTTGGGTGGTCCTTGGAGGTTTCAAGCCCCTTATGTGAGCTTCCGGGTGGTCCTGGGACCATCCAGGTCCCTTAGTAGATCCGCCCCTGTTAGCAGTGCTGATTGCCTAATTGCCACGAGGTGAGGGCTGAGGAGGAATGTTGAAGATAGCCAATGACTGATGAAGAACACAAGAATGTTGATTATGTTTGTGGTTTTATCGTAGGATAAGAATTATAGTTCCTTTTGTATTTTTATTAGGGATTAAGAATGCTTTATTATGTGTTTCATAATTAGGTCTTTATAAGCACGCATTTTAATTGTAATTCTGTATGAATTAAATCTAACAAGACGTAGCTGTTTGGTTGTGTAGTTGTCTTGACGCTTTGTTGTATTTTTATTTATTTTAATTAATCGAATAAGAATACAAGTTTATAATGCGTTTGTTCTTCTTTTTTTCGTTCTTTGATGGATATTAATTTTAACACCATCATTAGATATATGGTAGCAGAGCAAGCAAATAAAAGTAAAATAACGTCACTCGGAATGAGCTACAGTGTACATATTAGACTACTACTACGTAATTCTACTAGTGATTGATGGCATTACATTTACAATAGGGAGAGGGAAAAATCTTTCTACAGTGATGATCACAAACAGTACAGTATTGGCTTTGGCTTTGATTTTGGTTAACACATAAATCCACCCGTTGAGGGATCAACAACTGAAAGTTGAGTTGTTAATAATTATGCATCACTATCCCTCTTTGGTCAGGCCCAACATTGTTAGGTAAACAGTAATCCCCTCTTGGTGTATTTTGCG